CTGTCGTCCGGCCAGTGGTTGGTTATCCGGCCCGGCGATGGATGTGAGAAAGCCGCAGTGAGGAGCAAAGAGGTTGAACGAAGGGGCGCTAGCTGCGATCATGGACGAAGCCGTGGCGATGGCAGTAGCTGCTACCAGCATGACATCTCAGCCATCTCCGCCCCGATTCACCAAGCCGTGGGATGCAAGCCCGTCAGCCATTCCTGCAGGCCAACGACGAACCGTCTCATGGTTATCGCACAGTTCACCACAAACCAGCATCCACCGTGCAGGCCTACCATGTGTCACAGCCTGTGGACGAAACAGCCTCAGGGAACGACTGGGGGTTGCGTGGGGCTACTGTGTACCAAGCAGCAGACCGACCACACACACACTACCATGTACAATGCCCCCCTCACACCACGGAGTTGCGCCTTATCTCGCTCACTGTCGAAGCATGGCCGCGAGCCAGACTTCCAGCCTATCTCTCCACGATGAGACGAGGCCACCAGATTGTTGTGATTGCGCATCTTTTCGTGGAAACTCATCGACGATCGCAACACGGCCACTAAGAAAGTTTCCGAGATCCTCGAGAGTCCGCCTGGCCCGCCAACCCACTCGATGCAGCCACTCTCTTCGGTCCGCGCCCGGGGGCTACTCGGCAGCAATTCGATCCGCGGCGCGGGCAAGCTCAACATCGCTGAAACTCTCTCCCTATTGCTCTCTGTCTCTGTGGGCCTTTGGCCGTCGGCGTGCGTTGGACCCTGATCGACATCACTCCGGAGCAGGCCCTCTGACGAAACCAGATGTAGGCCCATTGGCAGATCTGACAGAAGCCACGTTCATTCACCCACTTTGGAGGGGTGGGCGCAGCCAACTGACGGTCAGCAACAACAGCCGTGATATGTATCGCGTTCATTTGCTCTGTTTTCGACCTTTCGAAAGATGTCTGACGGCAACTAGCCATCACCACTTTATCACCATATTCCGACACGATGCCACCATTGGCTGCTCTTCAGTCGTGGAAGTGGGTTAACGGCCACTGAGGTAACTTGGAAGTCCGACGAGGCGTATGTGGCTAGGCTGACGCCATGGGGGCCACACATAACCGTGGACAGGCAACCGTAAAGCAGAATGAACAGAGTTGACGGGCGCAGGCGTAGTGGCTGTGACTATGATAATGGAGGGTAGCTTGGTAGGCTAAAATGGGTGCGCCGACCAGATAAGCCGCAGGGCAACAGGTTGGTTGGATCGCTCGCGGGATATGTCGGGGTATTTTTTTCTCCCCCCTCTCTGCCTTCCATAGTATAGTTGGTCAATTGCCCTATAGCGGCGGTTGACGAGGACGATTGCATCAGCCATGGTTTCTTCTCCTGCTTCGGCCGACGAAGGAGACGGAGGAAGACAAGGGGGGAGCAAGGCGCGTGGAGTACCTGTAGCCGGAGTGGACCGAGCTAACAAGTTTGGCTCGAGATGCTCGGGCCAAAATCAGGACGAGACCAGCAGGCCAGTACGAACGAGGACTTCAGTACGAACCGGGATGGGATATGCCATGTTCACCTGGAGATGCCACTCTAGGAACAACGCGGTATTCCCCTTTACCCCACGGCGACCCTGGTTTGGCTGCGAGCCTATGTTAAACATGTCTTTGATTTCTTTTGATTGCTGTGGACATTGGGCAGCGAAGTGAGAGGGTCGGTTTGGGGTCGAGCTCGGACGGAAGCTGTCGATGGGTTGAGCTGGGTAGGCAAGGCGAGATCACCACATCACCACATCACCACATCCCGAGGCACCGGGGGGGAGAGGAGGGAGCCTGCCACTGGAACGAAAACGTAAGGTCGAGAGGCCCAGACGAATCGCGCCAGACAGCATGGGCATGAGGTATGGGGTTAGCGAGATACTTTCATTCCTGTGGCGCCCAGGTCGCTGTGGCGCCGCAGCTATGTGTGGAGATACTCGCACCAAGGCGGGGACAAAGTCTCGACCTCGCGCCAAGGATGGGACCTTCAAGAGATGGAAGCGACGATGGCGAGCAAGTGACCAGGGGCAGCACCCAACCACGGGCGCTCATTTTCAACTACCTTGACCCTCGGGGAGACGATCCGGTGGATGACACGGCGTGGATCAAGGCAAACGTAGGAAATTCCCTTGGGTACATCGTGTGGCTCTTTTCGTGGTGCCCCTGTCTCGTCCGCAAAGGGAAGTCGCTCGGGTCAAGAGGGGAGTACATGTACATTGATGGATGGGTTGAAGAGAGAGAGAGGAAAATTTTTTGAATGCAAG